CATGTAGCTTATCCTCGTTAATTAAGGAACGAATCTTTAGACATGCAAAACTTAAAATGCGTCGTCAGTGCTGAACTCTGTTACAGTAAATTTTCCGGTTATAAGTGATACCGTTAGTTTCGAAAGTGAATCACCGGTTAAAAACAACTCTTTGCTATCAGAACAACTAACTAACTGCCCATCGCCTGCTAGTAAAGTAACACGACAACTGGGAGGACCGAATGATAACAGTAAATAAATATATTCATAAAGGCTAAACAATCAAGCTGTAAGTTACTGTGCAAGTTTAAAATTACCATAAACGTAATATACCTTAGAAAACGTGGCCTTTGCTGCGGTAGTCCAGCAAAAGCCATATGCACCGGTGGTGCTGCTGGAGGCCGACGATCGCTTTTCTTCACGTCCATATCAGCAAAAAGTTTGCCAATCTGCTCGGCCGCTTGCAGAGACTCAGAAGTTGTTGAAGACGGTGGCAGTTGAACTTTTGAAACCGATGGTGTTGACAGCAGCTTTTGCAGCAATTCAAAAGCAATTCGCTCTTTATCTCCTCCGAGTTCTTCGGCAACATTTTCAATGGCTTCCGAAATCTCTGAGTCTACAGGAAACGAGTTCTCAGATTCGCTTTCATAACTACATTTGGCCGAAGGTTTTGAATCTTCAGATGAACTGTTACTTTTGGCAGTGGGAACTACTCTCGTTTTATGCCCAGGCTTCGCGAGAATTTTGCTGATGCTAGGTTCGACTTCTACATCCAAAAGAACAGAAAAAAGGGAATCACGCTTTTCGGACAGCTTCGATTTCTCTTCATCATTAACTTTATTTGTTTCTGTGTCTTCTAAATTAAAATCAATAAGTCAAACTTGAGTGAAACTGGTTTGATTAATTGTTTGATCAAATACCTTTCCTGTTAAAATAACCTGCTTTATACATAGCCGCCAAAAGCACCTCTCAGTCATTGGGACCATCAAAAACAACACAATGTAAAACTTTAGTAAAAGTACACAAATTGCAACAAACTTGTTGATCTATGGTTGAAGGTTCGAAAAAGTCAATGGTAAAACTTTTGCTGCCAACTCATTTTGCTACTTTCTGGTAGCATCATCTACTGACGTTGTGCAAAATATAGTGGTATTTCACCGTCGGTTAAAAGTTTTACTATCGGTTAAAATTTCCTTAATTCTGTCGTCGTGATATCTTCATGGAATGGATAAAAATTTCGATGCTACCGCAGTTGTCATTCCTTCACTGTCTTTCAAAAAGAATTTATGACCAAAACTTGATAATAAGATTAATTTACTCATCCAGCACCATTTCATTAGAGTAAAATATTGAACACAATCTTTATTAGTGTCTTATATCAAACAAACTCAATGAAATATATTTTAAGTGATACGAACACTCGAAGGATTAAGAGCTGGAGCAATCTTCTTGAAACCCAGGTTGTTCTCAGCAATGCCGCCTTCTGCAGTTCACCGATCTTAATTATGTATCAACTGACATTTGCTTTCTGAGTAAGCGCTTTTTTATTGTTTTTGTCAATTACCTACAGGGACTATCTCCGCATTAATTTTTCATATTTTTCATTCTCCTTCAATTCTTGGCATTTTAATGTTTTCTTTCTCACTGGCGACAACGTTACTATCGGCTGGACATGACGTGATTCGCGGTCGCTTTACACTTTGACTACTATTATAATTCACTGACTATGACCTGACACTGCTAAGTCCTAAGGCATTTTAATTTTTTCAGTCTCTCCCACATCTTTCAGCTGGCATCTTGATCACAGCTTTGTTCCTGGTAAATCAGCTCAGTTAGGTCATGGAGATTATCGAAAATCATTGTATAACGCACCATCACGAAATCATTCCACTATTTGTAAAGCATAGTTGCAAAATTTCAAAACTCTTCATCTAGTGTAAATAAAAGCTTTGTCTATACTATAACTCTATGTTCAAAAAATGTAGCATAAATAATAAGTTAATTTTTCACTAACTAAAAGCTATCATATAGATAACAATTTCATTACTAATTAAATATTACAGATCAATGAATTTAAACAATAATTAGGAGCACCTGGCTTCTGTTCGTCAGAAAACCACCTTAGCCGTAAGGAGAAAGGAAGCGTCCTCCAATATGAAACGCAACTCAAAGCTTTCCTGGGCAGCATTCACTGGATTCAAACCTAAAGCAGCACAAATGCAAATTAAAATATATAAAACAAATCAATGCCCACGCAATGTTTATGCTGGGATTTTAAGGCTACAGTTTATGTAATTCGGAAGCGAATCTACAGTTACTCTCAGAAAAGAAAAATGATACACAATGTCAAAGTTTTCTGTTGATAATTCAGAAATAGCCCGTGTAACAAGCAAAAATGAATCTACAACGAATGATTCACCAAGACCAGATTTCACGACGTATTATATCCCCCTTTGCTTCTAGTTGCATGGTGTGAAAGGATGGAGCATTTAAGCAGGGAAGAGATCAATGTTAAATTAGCACCTGCAGTTGTACCTCGCGTCATTTCTTCTGCTACAGCCACCATGCACTCATCACGCACAATGTTTCTGGAGCTGGTACTCCGTTTATGCTATCATATAAATATTATAAGCTGTTCGTACGCCCGAGTATGTAAAATAATGAATGAAACCTCCATGGTCATAAAAATGCAGTATCACACAACATTCCTGAAACAACGTTCGCGATCAACGAAAGACGACTCAGATAAAACGATGCTTAGTGAATCTGGCACTGCAGGAGGTCAAATCCCTTGGAACAGGGGCCTGTTTATATGGCCCCCCCTCTTAAGTAACTGTGAGCAAAAAAACAGTGAGATACGCTGTGAAATATGGTCCTGGAGGAGTCATTCGTCATTCTGAGGAACGTGAAGTGAACAGCTTATACTCTATATGCGGTAGAAATTTAAACTGTGATGATAATCATTTATTCATTTTTAAAGCCAGCCATTTTGCGTTGAGGGTAGCTGCTCCTGATGGACTTTTCCATGGCTTCGGACAGCCATCAAACGGAGGTTTAAACTTTTACATATAAGGAAAATCTTTCCTAAAGTCAGGTTTCTACCCTCTTCTAAACATTTTAAATACCTCGTTACAAATACCTTCGCCTAAGGTTAGTTGAAACCACTCTCTGAACCCTGTAAAATGTAATTCAGTACAATGCAGTTCATGAGTAAATCTTGCAGAAAAACAAAATCTGGCGCGACTATCCAAAACGCGATTAACAGCCAATTTTTTGCGCCTTTTAAGTACACGAAAGCAAAAACAAATTTTTTCGATTGCAGTTGAAACACATGCTCTATCACCCGTTATCAAGCTTAATGATGAAGAAATACAAGCATGTATGCAGGAATTATTTTCTATGTAAAATGCAGTCTTTATTTAATAAAGCTATATATTAAGATACAGGAAAAAAACGATGAACTTGGCATCCGCAAATCATACGAATAAGCAAGAATTTGTCCTCGGAGTCATACACCACAAAAACTAAAATGGATAATTCGTCTCTCAGTTGTTTTTAAGTGAAATGCAATGCATAGTAAACGCTTCATTTATTAAGCTTTATCGCCGGAAAAACTGCGAAAAAATTAGATTGCATCTACAGGAAAAAAGACTTATAAAAAACACAACTATATTACAGTGTTTATTAGGTAGCAAATATGATTTATCTTTTCGGTAACTTTATTAATCAGTATTACTTAAGAAACAGCAAGCAAAACAATATAGAAACAAATATAGCTTTAGAGAATCTTCATAACAAGGCTGTATCAATTACTGCAGGATTCAAGATTCGTTGAGCTTAAAGCTCATGAGTATTTCTTCTTCATACAGTACAAATAAATCGACCCTCAAGTTCAAAGCATCAGTGTGAGAAGTTACCGTTCAAACATTACGTTACTGCTATGCCAAAAGTACTGGGACTTGACTTTGAATAGTGAAAGTTTCCATCATCCGGTCACAGTGATGGATGCAGCGATGGACTGTTAATCATCACTAGTATTTTCGTGCAGGACAATCGCCTTTGCTCAACGTAAATTTTTTTCTCATTCTTACGTAGTATTTACACGTTCGCTCTCATCGTTTTCGTAGTAATAATTATGTTGCGAAAAAACATAATTATTGCTGTGTCTCGAGTGAATGGAGTTATTTGTCGGCATGTCTTAAAACTCATTGTCTTGTTCAAGAGGTGAGAATTTTGTAGTGCCGACTTTCCAACCGCCTGTCAATCAGCTAAGCAGTAGTTCAAAGGAATGATCAAGCAGTACAAAGTCTACTGACGGTGTGCCATCTCGCCTCAAGGAATATTTGATAAGGCACAGGAAGCTAATTATTTAAAAATATTAATTACACAAGAGCGCGCTTCCATCCCAGGAAATCGTCAAGGGAACTGCGGAGACAATTTATGGCCTAAATTGAATTGCACGACTGGAAGCCAGGCTATTACACCTGGTGGCAATGAAGAGTGGCATCCGAAGTAGACCTGTTTAATATTTGTCTACATAGAGCAGCTGCTGTTTCATAATGAATAGAATCCTTGTCTAAACGAGTGTCGTTGTACTTAACGATGACGAAAACTGCGACTCGAGCAGCGGAGAAGTACACCGGGAGGCTGGGTGATTCCACTGCAGTATAGCTATCATTCCACTGCATATGTTGAAAACGAACTTCCGAAAATATTTACTCTGTAGTTCTGCGGCGACATTATATATTGATGGTCAATATTTTGAATGTTTTAAACCTAATCTCATACAATCCGTGGTTCTCTATTACCTCATTTGGAAAGAAAAAAAAATACATGACCTAAGGGTCGAATTTTTAGGCTTCGACATTCCGTATGTTTATGCAGTGGTTCTTATTACACGAATCTAGGAATCCTACAGTTTTGCATATGTTTTTA